TATTTCTAAGATTTTTAAAATTGAAAAAGTATCTAGGTCTATTATTCTTTATAATTTGTAATAAAATAAACTTACATATAATAATTTTTAAAGCCATAAAACTGCAATGACCAAAATAACCTTAAGAGGTAGTGTTTTACAGTTTCTGTGATATAAATACTCCCACCATGCAGATTTCAAAATACATGTTTTTAATATACCAATGTGACATCACTGAATGCAGTTATTAAGAGATGTACAGTAGAGTAGTAGCACATAGTATTTTCACTTCACAAGTAACAACAGATGTAAATAACTTCAAGAGCACAGAATGTAGTAAAATAATTAGGAAGTAATGAATTTTAAGTATGTATTGCCTATGTTTTGAGAGCTTGTTTGAAGGCTCTAGCAGGGGAGCGCAGCTACTCGTATACCCTTGACTAAAGAACGGTCCTCTCCTCTATCCCGGAAGGTTGTCCTCTTCGACAGAGCGTGCAGCTTTGGGAGGGACGCACAAGGAGCGGTGAGGGAGGAAGGGGACCCCTGCCTAACCAGCCAGATCAGCCGAATTAACCCTGGCGATCAATGGGGTGAAAGATGTCGCAGCCAGATCACCCTCACATCCAGTATTACTAATGTTTTAAATGATTTATTTAAGTAGATTTAATAACAGCTGTGTCTAAAAACTGGCTTACAAAATTCCTGAAAATTTAAGAATCAGTTCTCATGAGCCAGTGAAAGCCACATCTAGCACACCACTGCATGAATATGAATCTGAAATAGTTACTTCTGAGTGACATCAGTAAAAAGGTTTATTAAAAACCTTTAAAAATTGTCTCCTCCATAAAAGCAATGAGAACACTGGCAAAAATAGAATTAACTTTTTCTGTACATTGCAAATTAATAAAGTTTTCCAGCAATTTGGGGTGTGTTTGTTAAAGAAAATTGGCTGAAACTGAGCTTTGTGCAGTTTTAGCTTGCCTTATTCCAATCTATCCCATCCCCAGTCTGTGGTAGCCTTGAAAAGCAACAACATACAATCACAATGAAAAGGACCAGCCTGGTGGTCACATAAGGTGGAATAATGGATTAAAGTTCTTTCAAATTCCCAATCCCAGAGAACTGTCATTATTTGACCTATCTGCTGGTTTCCTGAAAGACCTCACTCATAGGCTGTCCTTATCTGATATGACTTGGAGTTTGCCAGCGCAAACCACATTTTCCTCCAGAGAAGTTTGTCAAAAACAGTTGGAGACAGTTTAACGACACAGCTGCCTAAAGCAGTAGATAACAGGACAAATAAGAGGTTAACCAAAAAACGCAAAAAGGAAAACTGAGAAATGAAATGTCCACAGGGGGTTTTGAACAGATCTGATATGAACCTTGGTATTGAAAAGGCCAATCAAATATATAAGGTTGTGTACATGCTCAGGAATAATATATGAGAGCCATAAGGTCAGGACTCTGGCTAAACCTGAGACTCTGCATAAGCAAGAAAGCAGCAGTTTTAACCCATTTCCCATTTGCCCTGAGAAAATTCGCTGGTACTTGCAGCTGCAGGGTTTACCCTGAGATAACTCACGGATTACAGTCCTAACCTTACCCCCAAAGTTTGCCACAAAATATCTTGCTTTTATTATTATTTTTGAATCACTCTAGTATATCGATAGCTTTTAGAAACAAATGACATCATTCTATGTATAGCATTCTGTTTTTACTAGTAGTATTTCCATTTACAAAATATAATAATTCTTGATTGCTGAAAATGTCAAATCCTATAAAATGTAGCATTCCTACAAGTGATGTTAACATTGTTCTTGAACAGTTGTTAGAGTCATTTGATGAATCCAATTTATGTATACATTTCTGTTACATTAAGATTAGAGATAAGTTCTGTTTAGAAATAACTCCAAGAACAGTCTTTATATTTTATTTTCACTCTGAAAACCAGTCAGATTTGGTTCAAAGAGCATGTTTATGTAAAATTAAGTTAATGCTGGCAGTGAGCTGCATTTTTTTTCTAAATAGGAAATGGGTTAAACTGTCTAGCTGAGTGTTGACTGCATACCCCAAATTGCAAAAAAAAAAAAAAAAAGAAAAAGAAAAGAACACCTATTTTCTAGGAATGTAAAGAAACCTCTCTCCAATCATTGTTTCAGAAACCATACTGAAAGAACTAAAGGAAAGTATGAGAACTGTATCTTACCAAATAGATAAATAATAAAGAGAAAAAATTTAAAAAGCCAAATAGAAATGCTGGAGTTGAAAAGTACAATAACTAAAACGAAAAAAAAATTTTTTTAAGTGAGGCAACCCTTGGTTGACCTCACAGATTCCAAGGACCTTGTCAGCTTATTTTCCCTTATTTTTTAATTTTTTTATTTTTTACGCCTACAGCACCTGGTCTTCCCAGGTGGTCTCCCATCCGAGTACTAACCAGGCCTGACCCTGCTTAGCTTTAAAACGAAAATTTCACTGAATGGTCTCAACAGCAAGTAAGAATCAGCAAAACTGAAAAATCAGTCAATTGAGATGATCCAATCTGAGAAAAAGGAAAAAAAAGACAAACAGAGCTTCAGAGACCTGTGGGACACCATAAAATATAGCATTATACTCATAATTGGGGTCACGGGAGAGGAGAGATAGAAGGGGCAGGAAAAATGTTTGAAGGAGTAATGGTTGAAAACTCCCCAAATCTGAGGAAAAACAACAATCTATATGTCCATAAAGCTCAAAATATTCCAAGTAGGATAAACTCAAAGAGATTAACACTTAGACATATCATCGTCCAACTGCCCAAAGCTAAAGACAAAGAACTTCGAAAGCTGTGAGAAGCAACTTGCCCAGTCCAAGACACCTTTAATAAAACAGTTGATTTCTAATTATTAACCAATGAAGCCAAAAAACAGTGAGATGACATATTCAAAATGCAGAAAGAAAAAAAAAAAGCCTGTCAATCAAGAATTCTCTATCCAGTAAAACTATCCTTCAAAACTGAAGGATCAACTACCACCACTACAGCGTGAAGAGCTCCACAACCTGCTCTTAAGTGAAAATTATTAAATAACAAAAGAAAAACAAACAAACCCAGAAGATAAAACTATTCCAAGCCTTTGGAAATGGTCCTATGAGCAAACAGCAAATGAGGAAACATCTATTCAAGAAAATCTATAAAAATTTGGTAGGAAAGGTGAGATTCTGCGGTATTTAAAGAAAGATCCCAGTTCTGTGAGGTGGAGACTCCACTTCAGAGTGTTGAAGCGAAGGACATAGGGCTATATCTCCTTTCAGCTCCCTGCTGGAAGGGCTTCTTCCTGGGAGGGACAGGACTTCAGTGTTTCATGTCCTGCCCCCAGGCTTTCTGTTGCTGAGGCCAAGTCTCAGTGAGTGTGGTTGAGAGGTAAGGGTTCCCTTCTTTCACCTAACTTCCACTCATGGAAAGGAGAATGGCACACTGAGAATACTGGAGGAAGTGCATTATAAGAGAAATGCAAATTCAAACCACAATGAGATAATATTTCACATCCACTAGAGAGGTATAATAAAAACAAAACAATAGTAAGTGTTGGTGAGGAGAGATTTAGAAAAACTGGAAACGTCACATATTCCTAAAATCTAAAATGTAAAATGGTGAAGCTACTTTGGAAAACAGTCTGGTTAAACATAGAGTTACCATATAACCCAGCATTTCCAATCCTAAGTACATACCTAAGAGAATTAAATAATTCTATTTATATGAAATGTCTAGAATAGGCACAACTAATAGCAACAGAAAGTAGGTTAGTAGTTGCCAGGAGCTGGGGCTGGGGTGCGGTGTGGAGAATGGGCAGCTACTGCTAATAGTTATAGAGTTTCCTTTTAGAGTGATAGTGTGTTCTGGTGTTAGTGGTATCTATTGCAAAAGTTTATGACAATAAAAAGTCTCTTGAATTGCATATTTTAAAAAGGCAACTTTAGCTTTTCCCATAAGCAGCCTGAGGTGACTTCTGAAAATGGTTCACTATTCACTTGACTCAGAAAACCCCACAAAATCATGCAAATCAAGAGGTTCAAATCTTGGTATTCACTTTAAAAGCATTCATGAAACTATCCAGGCCATCAACTGTATGCATATCTGAAAAGCCACAAAGTATCTGAAGGATGTCACTTTACAGAAGCAATGTGTGCCATTCCGTCATTACAATGGTGGTGTCGGTAGATGTGCCCAGGCCAAACATTGCAGCTGAACAAGGGGGTTGTTAGCCAAAAAAGAGTGCTGAATTTTTGCTACATTTGCTTAAAAGTGCGTAGAGTAACATGAACTTAAGGGTTTAGATTTAGAGTCTCTGGTCATTGAGCACATCCAGGTGAACAAAGCTCCCAAGATGCAGCACAGAATTTATAGAGCTCATGGGCGGATAAATGCCTACATGAGTTCTCTCTGCCACACTGAGATGACCCTTACTGAAAAAAAGCATATTGTTCCTAAACCAGAAGAGGAGTTTGCACAGAAGAAAAAGATATCCCAGAAGAAACTGAAGAAACAAAAACTTATGGCTCAGGAGTAAATTTAGCATCAAATAAATGCTAATAAAAAAAAATTGGCGACTTTAGTGGTATGTGAATTATATCTCAAAAGAGAGAGAGACAGAGAGTTACTTTTCACTTGGTCCATTATAGCTTAGGAGTTTGGAAATCACTTGGTTAGCCTTAGTCAACCAAACACTAATAGCTTACCTCAGTTCCTGTTTCTCTCCAATCCCAAGCGCGACTTCCCCCTGGCCACACTTTGCAATCCTTGTAGGTTTTAGTAGAGCCTTGTACTTTCATTTGCCCCCATGAAAGGGAAGCAATTTCAGGGGAAGACATAAGGAACTTAGCTGAAATCTGAAATTAAAAGAAAATATACTAAATCAGTTATAAAGTAAGGTTTGAACAGCTCCAAAATACAAGAGCTATACTATATATAAAATATATTGTTAAATATTATATACAAAATAGTAACCCCTGGTCCTCTGTGAGTTATGGAGCATCTTTCTCATTTATGTAGTCATCACTTCTTCTTTGGAGGTCTAAAAAGTAAAATGTTATTCTTGGGATCCTGAATCATCTAACCAAAAAACTATTCTCAATTACTTCTCAGAATCTGGAGGGAATTCTCAGGATATTTTTTTGGAGATAATATTAAAAGGTGGTTATTGACTTCAGCATGATGGAATGAGGAGGCTGACATATCCTTTCCCCAAAAAATGACTATAAAACTGGATAAAACTTTCAAAAATAACCACTTGGCACTCTAGAAATAATAGGAAAGGCATAGTATAAACTGAAAGTGTTTGTTCATGAAAACCACTGAACTTCAGATAAGGACAGTGAAGTATTTTGTTGTTCTGGCCTGGGACTACTCTCATGCCCCCACATGGGTTCTGTTGGCACAGAGATTCAACTTGGTTGGAACAGGGCATGAAAACCAACAGTCTTGCTGCACAGCGAGAAGAGGCTCACTTGATTTGGAGCATTATGGTATAAACTGTGATCTTAGTGGCAAGTGAATATGGCAAGGAAGCTACCACTCAGCTTCCTTGATACTGTGAGCTTATTTGAGGCAAGCAATGGATTGGCAGAGTAGGCAGAGATTTAACAGAAATTTCCCAGAGGTGACACAGCCATAATGGGTTTGATAAGCTCTCCATATGTCCAGAGTGGACCAAAAGCTATAACCATATGCATCAAAGATAGGAGTGGGCCTAAGTCATGAAAACATTCTGGGCCAGTGGCGCCTAGAGCATGCAAAGTGGAGAAATGAGAAGGCTCAAGAGGAAGCCAGGGAAGACATGAAAACAGCCTGAAAAATGAATGCAATCCCCAGTCCACACTGATCCATCAGTAGAGAGTGAAAATCTTACTGGGTTGAGGTATGTGAACACAATCTTTGATTAATCTTTAGTTGAACACTAAGCTATATAGCACCGAGAAGACATGTAGGAAGCCAACCTTAAAAATAAAAAGAAAAAAAAACTGAATACAGATTTCAGTGTCCACACATTGCACAGGAGACAGAATTTACAGAAGTAGTCTACACAAGTGACTAAATACAAACAATAATACTAAAAACATTTTGAGGAAAAATCAGAATCCAGACTTCTTATAATATATTATCTAAAATGTCCAGTTTTCACAAAAAATTATGAGAAATGCAGAGAAACAAAAAGTGTGACTGACACTCATCAAATGAAACTAAGTGTTCCCATATGTTGGATTTAGCAAAGACTTCAAAGAAGCTATTATAATAAATTCAAAGAACTAAAGAAAGCCATGTACAAAGAATTAAACAAAATTATGATGACAATGATTCAATGAATACAGAATCTCAATAGGCAGACATTTCAAAAAAGAATCAAATGGAAATTCTGGCATTGAAAAATACAATAACTAAAAGGGGTTTATATCAGTCAGAGTTCTTCAGAAATACAGAACGAGTAGATTATACATATTAAGAGATTTATTTCAAGGAAGTGGCACATGCAGTTGTGGGGGTTGGCTAGTCCACAGTTGTAGGGCAGGCTGGCAGGTTGCTAACTCTTGGGCAGAATTTGTCATTGCATTATTGATGTGTTATTTCTTCTTCCTCAAGGAAACCTGTTTTGCTTTTAAGGACTTCAACTGATGGGATGAAGCCTTTACCAAAAACATCAAGGATAATCTCCTTTATTTAAAAGTCAACTGATTGTAAATGTTAACTGCATCTACAAAACACCTTCACAGCAACACCTAGCTTAGCATTTGATTGAATAACTGGATACTATAGCTCAGACAAGATGACATATAAAATTAACCATCACAGTCCACCCCTTGTCAATTTGGCACCTATATACATTTCCTTAAATTGTATTTAATCTCCAAGTAAATAACAAAGTGGTACTTCTGCCTAACATTAATAACTAATTCATTTTTGCAGCTTTAACTTCTGAATACCGATTTTTAAAATGTATTATATAGCAAAGGATATAAGCACAATTTTAGGTGCTATGGGGGGAAGATAAAATATATAAAATACAATTCCTGTTCTTGAGGAGCTAATATTATACTAGAGAAGACATATATAAATAACCATAATGTAATTTTTAAAAGGTAACTTTTAAAAATATGAGGTGGTTTTTTAAAAGAATTAAGTAAAATAATTATTGTGTGTTGAGAAAGAGAGCTTCCATAACAAAATACCATAGATTAGGTAGCTTAAACAACAGAAATTTATTTTCTTTCAGTCTGGAGCTGGAAGTCCAAGATATATGGGCCAGCAGGGTTGGTTTTTGATGAGACCTCTCTTCCTGGTTTGCAGATGGAGTCCTTGCTTTGTCCTCACATGGCCTTTTCTCTGTGCATAAGTGCTGTGCATGAACTTTCTTGGTTTCTTTTCCTTTTTCTAAGGATACCAGTCCTAAAGGATTAGGGCCCCACTCTCATGGCCTAATTTAACTTTACTTACCTCCATTTCTCCTTAAAGGCCCCATCTCCAAATATAGTCACATTGGAGGACAGAGCTTCAACACATGAATTTTGAGACACGATCCAGTTCATAGTAGCTATCCTATGACAGTATTACTGATTACTGTATGACAGTCCTGATTACTGTAGCTTTGTAGTACTTTTGAAACCAGGAAATATGAGGCCTTGAACTTGGTTCATCTTTTAAAAGATTATTTAAGATATTCCGAGTCCCTTGAATTTCCATATTAATACTAGGATCAATTTGTTAATTTCTACAAAAAGCCAACTGCGATTTTGACGGAGATTGCACTGAATCTACAGATCAATTTGAGGATTGCCATTTTTTCAAAAGTAAGTTATCTAAACCATGAATATGGGATGTCTTCCCATTTAGATGTCTTTAATTTCCTTTAATGATATTTTTTAATTTTTAAGACTTATGCTTAAAAAATGTATTCTTAAGAATTTTAATTCTTTTTGATTCTATTGTAAATAGAATTATTTCATTTTGGATTTATTGCTAGTGTATAGAAATACACTTGATTTTTGAGTATTTATCTTTAATCCTGCAAACTTGCTGAACTTGTTTATTAGTTCTAACAGTTTTTGTGGATTCCTTAGAATTTTCTATGTACAAAATCATGCTATGTATAACAGAAGATGTTTCATTTCTTCCATGACAGAAGAGACGGTGGTACAATGTGTGTGTGTCATTTAATTTCTTTTTAGGAACAGACTTAATGAAGGTGTAATCTAAATCTTGCTTTGTAATTAAACATCTCTTACCTTTTGGGTGAATATAACTTTTTAATGCTCAAAGACTTTGTTTCCATTCCAATCTGGATTAACAATGCAGAAACTCTAACCTTGTCAGTCCCCGTTTGAAAAATTGTGAGCACAGGAGGAAACTACAGTATAAAGCTTTATATTTTGTTTGTTTGTTTGTTTTACAACGTTATTTTACAGCTTCATGGGAGAGCAGGAGGTGAGGGGCTGGAAAATCTGAAAGCAAAGAAATAGAAAAAGGGAGGGGTGGAGTGTAAGATTCACATAATGCTGTAATTAAATCTTTCTTTTGGTTTGAAAGTTCTTTCCATCAAAATTCCTTCACAAAGATATGATTATACTTAATATTATGTACCTGCCTTTTATTTAAAGTCAATTAAATAACAATCTTATGGAGGTTTTTTTGTATCTTTTCTGCAAAGTTGTTGTTAAAGATGTGTTCTGGGTCAGCTTTTTCTTAAACTGAGGCTTCAGCATCCCAGGTCTAGAGATATATACTTGGGAGTTTGAGAGTTCTACCAATATATTTTAGTTTAGTGTTTCTTTTCAGTGTTGCTTAAAAACAATATTTTACCACATATTAAACTAAAACTTCCCTTTTGCAATGAAAACTCACAACCACAGACATTTTCCTAAAGACTTTATTTTTCTTTTTTTTATTGTGGTAAAATATACATAACATAAAATTTACCATTTTAACTATTTTTAAGTGCATAGTTTAATGGCCTGAAGTACATTCACATTGTTGTATAGACTTTAATTTCTTACATCAGTATTCCTCAAACTGGAATATTCAAAATATTTGATAAGTTTCACAAGAACATTTTCCCCCCCAAAAGCATTTGTATACTATTCAAGTGTTACCTAGAATACTAATTCCCCTTACAACTGCATTTTTCTCTTGATAAATGAGTATTCTTTCTTTAGATAATGAGAATGACATAGACCACTATGGTTTTTCCTTTTTTACCTAAAAACGCAGAACAAAATTCAATGTTTAATTGTAGTAAGCATTTTCTCTGTTCCCAATATAATTATTTGCCTATAAATTTCTTTATTTTCCTTAATCATAAATTGTCCTATTTTACATGGTTGATAGTGTACCTTGCTTCAAATTCTTTTTAGGAAGTAGGTGCTATGTAAGTTTAATAGTACTGATGTACTAATGCACACTGATAATTTTGGCTCGAAGTGGTAAACTGTACAAATTATAGCTAAATTTAATCTAAATTTGAGGAATGCCTTTTTTTCAATAGCAACTAGTATTTTTAAAGTACTTACAATGTGCCAGAACATTGTGCTAATCAATTTACTATGAAATATCTAGGAAAACCCTGTGATGTAGGTACTATTATCACCCCTACTTTACAGAGGTTCACAGAAATGAAGAATCTTTCACCAAGTCATGAAGCGGTTCATTTAGGACTCAAGTCTGGCTTAATCTAAAGCTCAGGCTCCTAACCGTAATGTACATTGCATCCCAAGCTGCACATTCCATTTTGCATCCCTGGAGGTTTTCTGAGATTCTTTGTGGGAGAATGCTCACTGCTGCCCCCAACGAAGCGGAACCCTGCTTCCTATTAAACTCTTTGCTCTTTCACCATGTCTCCTATTACGCTCGCTGTCTTAATTACTTGAGTCTTAGCCACACCCTTAGACTCTGGTCCCCCACAGAACTTTGTCCCCTCTGACACTAGTACCACAACAGAGCTCCTCTCTCTCATATCCTGGCAACCACAGCAGAGTTGTCCTCTCACACCTTGGTCTTCCTGCAGAGGCCGGTCCCTTTAGACTGTGATCTTCTGGCAGGGCCCCAACTCCTCAGACTGGTGATACCCGCAGAGCCCTGTTCCCTCAGGCCCTCTTATCCCAGAACTCTCAGATCCTGCTCTTCCCAAAGCAAAGCCGAGAATCCCGTACCCCAGCAGAGAGCAACACCCTTCAGCAAACTTCCGCAGAGACTTCTCACGAAGGTCCCACCCTAACCTCTTATTAAGGGCATCTACCTTTCCCGTTTCCAACCTTCTCCCAGATCGTGCTTTCCCCGTCCCCCTAATTCTTATTTTTCCTGCTTCTGATTATTCTCAACTTCCACCACTATCTTGTGGCCAGTTTTAGTTCCCGCAGTCCCCTCAAAACTCACCCAAAGCCCTCTTTCCACCGAGTTGCGACCCGTGGCTCCGTGCTTTACCTCTCACCTTGGTTAGGGCAGGTCCTCTGGGCTAAACGCTCCCCCCAGTCGCCCCGCCCGGCGTGAGCCGGTCCGCCAGTCGCCCGAGGCTCCGCCCTCTCCGAGTCTATTGGTCCCCGTTCCTAAAAAGTCCCGCCTCTACAGCTTCCAGCCCGCCTCCCAGCCCAGCTTCCCTTGTTTTCATTCCCCCTGTCACACGAGGCTTTGGCGAACCCGAAGTGGGAGGGACGAAGTAGAGGGAGGGAAGGGGGAGGAAAGAGGGAGGAAAGCGAAAGGCAAGGAGCGCCTCTCTTTCCCCGGTCTGACTCGGTTCTCTACTGCTCCCGGCCGCCGTTGTATTGTGGGATCGCGACGCGGTGCCTGAGACGCTCGGATCCGCAGGGGAGTCCACTCGCTAGCGCCTCCTGTCTTCTGTAAGGCTGCCCTGCCATTCCTCGGCACCCCAGCTCCCCCTCCACCCCCCATCGCCTCCTCCTCCATCCTCCAGTTCAAAATGGCGGCGGCGGCGGCAGCGGCGGCGGCGATGGCTCCTCCGGGCTGCCCGGGTTCGTGCCCCAACTTCGCCGTGGTGTGCTCCTTCTTGGAGCGCTACGGGCCGCTGCTCGATCTGCCTGAGTTGCCGTTCCCCGAACTGGAGCGGGTGCTGCAGGCGCCGCCGCCGGACGTCGGCAACGGAGAAGGTAAGCGAGGGGCCCGAACGCCCGGCGGGAAGCGGCCCTGGCACGCTTCTTCTCTCTGCTCTTTACGGGCGCCCCGGGCCTCCGCGGTTCTGTCCTCCCCGTGGGGTGCAGTTCCGCCCGGCCTGTCTTCTCTGCCCAGCCCCCGGGGTCTTGGGCAGTGAGGAGGCGGGGCGGAGGCCCCCTAGGGCCACTCGGCTGGGCGCCGAGCGGAGGTGGGGGCGTCGCAGGCTAGGTTTGGGCTGGGTGCGGGGAGGGGTCATTGTGCTGATCGGCTGCCCCCGGGACTGCTACCCCGCGGCGGAGGCCGGTCCCCCACCCCTTCTCCCCCTTGGTGGCGGGGGAAGGGGAGCGCAGGTTCCGGCCAGCTTTGCGCTTTTCTCCTCCTCTCCCTAGCTCCCTCCCCTCCTCCCACCATCCTCCCGACCATCTCGGGGAAGGCTGGGCTCATCTTCTAGGGGCGCCCCTTTCTCTCGCTCCACCTGGGTGGGCGGGGGCCAGCGGACACTTCAGCTCTCCCTCCCTCTAGTGGGAAGTCCCCCGAGAGAGTCGGCTCTCGTCCCTCTTCGCTTCCACTCGAGGGCCGGTTTAACCCCCAAAACTCCTTCCTCCGGGTAGGGAGGTTTGCTCCTCCCCCGTAGGAGGGGGTCCTCCTCCATTCTCGCTTTAGGGGACGAAGTCGGTTCAGCTTCTCCACTTTGGAGGATAGAGGGTTAATTTCTCCTCCCCCATAGTTTTCCTCTCCCTTTCCCCCACCTTCCCCCGAATAATAGAAAAGCATCTCCCCACTTTTCCAGTCCCTTCCCCCTTCATCTTGGCAGCAAGGCTTAGGGGAAGAAGAAGTCGCCCTTCCATTTGCTGGGTGGGGTGGAGTGGTTAGTATGTAGCCTGGAGGAGGGGCTCAGATGGAGGGGGAAACAGTTGAAGAGGTGCTTGTTGCTCATGTTTCTCTCTCTGGTGCCGCTGGTCTATTATTGGTGTTCGCAAGTGGTGCTCCTTCCACATAAGGCCACCGCGCGGGTGCAGGGCGCATGCTCTGCCCGGCCCCATTGAAACTTCCTGCTGCTGCTGCTGGTGGTTCTTTCGCTAGAGCATCTCAGCGCTGCGCCTGCTGCCTCCAGCTTCCAGCCCTCACACTGAGCGCATACACTCATTCACCTCCTATTTATTTCCGATCCATGTCTTTCCTTTTCTGGCGCATTTCTTCCCTCAGAGAAGGGTTTTTTTATTGTACTATGAGCATTGCCTTTATCTGGGAACAGCCCTTGGCTGGAGAAGAAACATTTTCCAAATAGGTCTTCCCCACCCCCATTTTTTTGTCCGTATTAGATGGCCAAAGTGGACTGGGTATTCTACAATACAGCTGTTTCCTTTCCAAGAAAAGTGTCACTTTAATTTTCCATGGAAATAAAGTTTCTGTTAACAATATATTTACTTTGCTAGGAAGGGCACAAGTGTGAAGTTCTTCCAAATATTACGTATAGAGAAAATGATCTTATAGTTACCAGAGACACAAATTAATACAGTAGTTATGGTACAGGCCTATATCTCTTTCATCTGCCCAAATCTCCTCTACCCTTTACAAACTCGCATATAAAATGCTAATTTTATGTATAGTATGAAATAGGAGGGTGATTAGTTAAATTATATAAAGACTTCCTGCAGAATTTCTTTAGACATTAAGCACCTCAATATAATTTCATTATCAAATTGTATTTACATTCAATTTTTAAGGAAATAGTCATCACGAAGTAGAGTGCCTTAGTAGGTTTCTTTTAGGATACTTTGGGAAACGATAGTAATCTATTAGAAATGTGGGCATTTGGGGAAGGGGATTGCTGATAAATTGCTTTTGGAATTTACTTGGATCAAATTGAAAGGCAGGCCTAGACTTTTATTTGATGACATTGTATTTTGGGTGGTATACAAGATTTCTTGCCCATTCCTTTTAAGTATTTTGACCACTGCATTTGGCTTGTATTAGTAACAGAAGAAAAAATATCTGTCAGTTTAATACACCGTGTTATCTTCCTATCTAGAATTGAACAGTGGGCCACCAGCTAAGTAAAAAATGGAAAATAATGTGGGCTGAGAGATTATACTGGTGGGCTCAGCCACTGCATTACTATTGGTATAGTTGCAACTATAATAATAGATCTTATCATAAGATGCTTTTTAACGTACATATATATTCTGAGTTGCCAGTTTAATACTTTTTACCTAGTCATTTATCGTGATAGGTATATCAACATTATGACATCCTTTGGAGGAGGCTGTAGTTCTCTGTATTGCCCTGGTTTAAGTACTTTATGATCTTTCTCCTAAAAATTTGTTTCTAAGTTTTAATTTGATATTGTGGCTTCACCTTAGAATTCTTCCTTCGTCCCCACAGAGTTAGTTCTTACATTTGGTTTTATAAACTACTTGTTCAGTTTTAATGATATAATAATAGCTACCATTTATTGAGTATATACTTTGTGCAGACATCTCATTCCCTACAACTATTATTTGAAGTTGCTACTATTATTCCTATTTGGCAGGCATGGAAGGTAAGATTTAAGAGATTGATTCAGCTGCTCAGTGCCCAAGATTATATATGTAGTTATTGGTAAAATCTGATTTCCAGCCCAAGTCTGTCTGAATCCAAGCCACAAAATTATATAATACCTTGCCATAGGGCCATGTTTCCCAAACTTCACCAAGGCACCCCAGGGTATTGCCACCAACTCACAGAGGTGCTGTCTGGTAGTTTACATTTTCAAAGGAGATAGAGCAATACTTGACGTCTGTTGGTTGCCAGGTGAACTATTAGCTTAAGAGAGTTCGTGGTTTCAAAATTAGATTGTGCTGTATTTCTTTCGATGACATATCTTTGTGAGTTTTGGGGTATTGCTATGATAAAATGCAAATACTGCATGAAAATCATCATGGAACAGGAAATAAGGATAGCAGTGTCCAGTCTGATTCCAAGATTTGAGTTGTGCAGTGCCCACATACGTTCTGTAAGTAGTAATTGTGTTGAGAGGGAAATGTTTCTTTCAGCTGAGGTTTATTTTTCAAATGGCTGCTAACAACTTCATAAGTGGAACTGCTATTATTTGTTGGCCTAGGACTGCTATGAAACATTACTGAAATATTGAGGGTACCATGAACCTAGAATGCTTGGGAATCTGTGCTGTAGAGACTATCATTGCGTTTTAGAGCTAGAAAGAAAGGACTTTTGCACCTATTTCGCCTTTATTTTACAGAGAAGAAAACCAAGGTGCAGAGATCGATTTCAAGTATATACTGCTAGCTAACCATTGGTGTTATTCAGGCTGTTATTTGAAAAGTCCACTTATATGCTGAAATTATCAGCCAAAAAAATCTAGATTTCTTGTTGATACTAGTTAGACTAGGAAAAGGGTTTGCCATCTGAAGGTGCTGTTATCCCCGCTCTCTCACAGTCTACGTTAGCCCTCCTGATTCTGTGCTCTGTCTGGACTTCCCCAGCTAGCTTCCTCCTGACTGGAGGTGGATGATCAGGAGTATTGATATAAGTAAAAGTGAACATTGACTTTGTAGGATTACGAACTCCCAAGGCTCTGAAGCATCTTTCCCCTTCTGCAGAGGACATTCTTTTTCAAGAGGAAAATATACTTTTTTATTCTTTAAGGATAGTCTTTGTATGGTATTGGTTGAGACAGTACGTATATCTAATAACAGTCTATTAAAGTGTGTATGTGTTATGATTCTCATAGTTTATGCTGTGGTTGCCTGAGTTGTTTATATGGTATTAAAGAATTTGAATCATTTCAAATGTTTTTGAAAAAGTGTTTTTTTTCTTTGATTTTTCTTAAGATTTTATTTTTTAGAGTTTTAGGTTTTGTTTTTTAGATTTATTATAGGTTTTTACATTATATATAGGTTTTAGGTTTTGTTTTCTACATTTATTAATGATTTGAGGTTTAACTCTTAACAGTCAAAATGTCAGATATAAAAGTATATACGTTTTATAGTTAATTGGAGTCATGCCTGTAACTTAATATGTTCTCTCTTACTGCTGCTTATTGAATTGTGTGACAGTAGTTTTTAGGTGCATTAGATAAAGTAGTGTGGTAACTTTGCCATAACTGGAGCCACCATCTGTTGCTTTAAGCAAAAGATCTTACCAGATGCATGTGCTGAGAGTTGCCTGGGTCTGCAGTGGTAAACCATTAGTGGTAGTAACATTGTTAGAACCAGAGCATGGTTTGGTGGAAAATGTTTGGGCTCTTCCACCTTTGATAAAAGAAATATTCTTTAAACATTTGT